CCAAGAGGTTGGGGTGGTCCTCACCCCCAAAGGAGGGGTGGGGGTGCTGCTCCCACTAAAGCACAAGGGAGAACCACCGGGGGAAGCCCAGGTCCAGCCCGGGGGCGCTGGGGGGGGCTGGGGAGCGGGCGTGCGGCCCGGGCCGCCCCCTCGCTCCGCCCGCGCTGACCGCCCGCCGCCCGCAGGCCCGGGGGACGCTGCAGAACCGCGTGGTGCTGTGGAGGGAGCAGTCGGAGGCCAGCCGCGGCCCGTCGCGCGCCCACTCCCCCGGCCTGCTGGGCCCCGCGCTGGGGCCGCCCTACCCCGCCCGCCTGGACATGGTGAGGCCCTGGCCGCCCCCGCCGCCCTTCGCGCCCCCGCTGGCCCCGCCGCCCGTGCCGGGGCCCTGGGGCCCGCTCGGCCCCCGGCTCCCGCGCTTCGCCGCGCCCCTCGGGCCGCCCTGGTGGCCCGGCCGCCGGCCCCCCAACCCTTACGCCGACGTCTGGGACTGGGGGTGGTGGCTGCACTAGCGCCGCCCGCGCCCCCCACCCTGCCCTCTGCCCCGCAGCCCGCGCGCAGCCCGCACGGCCCCGACGAGGCCGCCGCCGCCGCCCCGCGGGAGCCCGAGCGCCGGCCGCTGCCGCGGACGCCGTCGGCCTGTGAGTGCCGGGACGGGACGCGCGGGGAGGAGGGCGGAGCGGGGCGTCGGAGGCCCCGGAGGGGGCGCCGGAGGGGGCGCGGAGACGCAGCTCCCCGCACCTGCGCCCTCCGCCCGCAGCCTCGCTGTACAGCGCCCCGCGCGCGCCCTCGGGCCCCGGCGGCGCCCGGCGGGTCCGCGCGCTCGTGTCGCACTCCGAGGGCGCCAACCACACGCTGCTGCGCTTCTCGGCCGGGGACGTGGTGGAGGTGCTGGTGCCCCAGGCGCAGAACGGCTGGCTCTACGGCAAGCTGGAGGGCTCGTCCGCGTGAGTGCGCCCGCCCCGGCCCGGCCGCGCCCCCTCCCCGGCCCGGCCGCGCCCCCTCCCCGGCCCGGCCGCGCCCCCTCCCCGGCCCGCGCCCCCTCCCCGGCCCGGCCGCGCCCCCTCCCCGGCCCGCGCCCCCTCCCCGGCCCGGCCGCGCCCCCTCCCCGGCCCGGCCGCGCCCCCTCCCCGGCCCGGCCGCGCCCCCTCCCCGGCCTCACTGGCCCACACTCGTTCCTGAAGAGCCTTTGGGGTGAGAGAAAGGGTGTGGAAAGACTGGGAAACTGTGCAGATCTCTGGCTCCGGGGCAGATGGGTGTGAGCCAGGCTAAAATGGCCCCTCCCTTGCAGGGCACTTGTAGGAACCCAGGGTGGGTGGCTCACGCCTGTCATCCCAGCTACTCAGGAGGCTGAGATCTGAGGGTTGAGGTTCGAAGCCAGCCCTGGGCAGGAGAGTCTGTGAGACCCTTCTTTCCAAACAAGCACCAAAAAGCCAGAAGTGGAGTTGTGGCTCCAGTGGTCGGGTGCCAGCCTTGAGCAAAAACGTTTAGGGACAGCGCCCAGGCTCCGAGTTCAAGGCCCAGGACAGGCACCCCACCCCACCCCCTAAAAAGCCAAACCTAAACGAAAAGAGCCTTCCGGGAACTGGTTTGGTTTTTTTGTTTTCGATGCCCATACTGAGGCTTGAACCCTGGGCCTCCTGCTTGGCCAAGGCTAGCGCTCTACCACTCGAGACACAGCTCCTCTTCTGGCCTTTCGGTGGTTCACTGGAGATAAAGCTCAGGGGCTTTCCTATCCAGGCTGGCTTCAAACCCAGATCCTCGGAGCTCAGCCTCCTGAGTAGCTAGGGTTCCAGGAGTCGCTGTCCCGGCTCAGCGGCCCGCCTGTGCCCCGCAGGAGCGGCTGGTTCCCTGAGGCCTACGTGAAGCCCTTGGAGGAGACGCCTGCGAGCCCCCTGCGCCCCCCGAGCCCTATGACCTCCCCAAACCCGATGAATGAGCTTCCTGCCAGGTACTTGATGGGCAGCCGCAGACCCCAGGGAGGTGACCCTGCCCACAAGAGGAGAAACCTGGGGGTACAGACCCTGGACAGACAGGGCCAGGCACCCCTATCTGTGTACTCTGCAGGCTGCCTGTCCTCCCTGCCCCGTGATCAGGCCCCGCCCAGATACAGGGGGAGGCTGTGGGATGCTCGGTACCTGGCAGACGTTTGTGCGCGCTGAGGCCCACCGGACCCCTGCTTCCTCCTCTCAGGTCCTACCCCCTCCGGGGAAGCCACAGCCTCAATGACCTCCTGGGCCAGCCGGGCAACTCCACGGTGCCCCCTGAGTACTGGGATGGCCAGTCCCGCTCCCGGACCCCAAGCCGCGTCCCCAGCCGTGCCCCCAGCCCTGTGCCCACGCCTCTGCCCGGCAGCCGCAGAGGCAGCATGGGCAGCACGGGGGCGGCCAGCAACGTGAAGGTGAGCCACGGCTGCCTGGGCGGTGGGCGGGGGCCGCACCCTAGAGGGGTGGGCAGCCCAGGCCGGGTCCTCTCCAGAACCCAAAGATGTCTTAAGCCTGGAAACTCAGAGCTGGACGTCACCTTGCCAGGGTGGCACCGTGGCTCACGCCTGTAACCCTAGCCACTCAGGAGGCTGAGATCCGAGGATTGTGATTCAAAGCCACCTGGAGCAAGGAAGTCTATGAGACTCTTACTTACCATTAACCACCAAAAACCCACAAGTGGCGCTGTGGCTCAAGTGGTAGAGCACTCGCGTGGGGCAAAGAACAAGTGAGGGAGCACGCTGAGACCCTGAGTTCAAACCCCAGGACTGCACAAAAACCCAGTGGAGAGGCCCCGGGGCTCCCTTGCCCTCCTCCCCACACGCCCGCCCTCCTCCCCCCCTCTGCAGCCCCTCACTGCCTGGGAGCAGCACCCGCCAGAGCTCTTCCCGCGGTGAGCGCCCTTCCCCGGGTGGGAGGCAGGTGGGGCGAAGCCGGTGCCCCGTGCAGGGGGGAGGTGGGCTACAGATGCGGGGCCAGTTGCCCTGTCTCACCCCAGCCTCTCCTCCCCTCACAGGGGCACAAACCCCTTTGCCACGGTGAAGCTGCGCCCCACCGTCACCAATGACCGCTCAGCCCCCCTCATCCGCTGAGCCACCTCCTCCCTGAGCTCTGCCCAGGCCACACTCGCCTTAGATCCAAGATGGCAGGGCGCTGGTGCCCAGCCGCCGATGCCCAGCACCCCCAGCCTCAGCCGCTACCGGGCAAGGACCTGGGCTCTTCAGCATGCAGCAGGCGGACTTGGGGGACAGCAGCATCTTCCTTCCAGGGGCTAGGCCTCTCCTGGTGTGTGGGGTGGGGGGAGGTCTGGCCTCCTGCTCCCAGCCCCCTTCCTGCCCTGCCAGCCCCACCTCTGCCCATGCGCTCTCCCTGGGACTTTTGTAAAGGAAAAATAAAGGAAGCAACAGCAGGCATGTGGTGTCTGACTGGGGGGACAGTGGGGCTTCGGGTGCAGATTCCCAATGGAGAATGGAGGGTTCCCAGGATGCTCGCTCCCCCAGCCCCTCACCCCTCATCCCGAGCCCCAGAGGCCTCACGCTGCACAGCCCCCATCTCCACCTGCTCCTGAGGGAGGGAGGGGTGGAGCACCGTCCCGGCCAGGACCACCGCGTGCCCTCAGCTGGCCTGGGACACAGCGCCCTTTGTTCTGTCCACCCCGGGCTCCAGACGCAGTCCTGGATTAGCTTTATCCGGGGAAGCCAGGAGTCCCTGCTGGAATGCGGCGGGGGAGTGGGGGGGGAGGCAGAGACTGGCACCATCTTGCCTGGCACGGTCTCCAGGGCAGGGCTGTGCCCCCGGCCCCAGACCAGGACCCTCTGACCAGGGCCCTGGGTCCCTGTACGGGAGACAGAGGAATCTCCATGGCTCTGGTCCCTGCAGAGACCCAGCCGCCCGGGCTGTGGTCACTCCAGCCCCTTCTCCCTTCCTGGGCAAAAGCTGCTTATCAGGGGTGGGGCGAGGGGCGCGACTCCTGCGGGAGGGGGGCGGCCGGGAGGGCGCCAGGCCAGCGGCTGATCCCTGGCTGGCCGTGGGAAAGCAAGGAGACGGAGTTGCACTGGGACTGAGGCGGCCTTGGGAGATGGGGGACCGGGCACCCAAACCCTCAGCCAGGCTCGGGTAAGCATGGGTTCCCGGGCACCCCGCCTTGCCGCTGGCCTCACACCACCGTGAGAGGGGGCAGAAGAAGGCCAGAGCCTGGGGCCGGTGGGCCTTGCACTGCCCTGCTGGGAGACCCCAAGAGCTGCGGGGTGGTCCCAAACCAGCCCCCCCATCCCTACCCACACCAGCCCCAGCAGGAGGCCCACCCGTGAGACTGTGTGGACAGAGGGACTGAGGGCCACTGGGGTGAAGGGTAGCCCTCCCAGTACCCTGGCAGGGGTCCCTACCTATCCAGCCCCTCTCCTCTGGTCTAGGGGGTGATGGGTCATGCAGCTTGGGGGAGGGATGGCTGGACCTGGGGTCCCCTGGCTTCTGAGACTTCATGCCCTGTGGTGGTGAGGGTTTAGCACCTCAGTCATTCCTGAGGAGATCTTGGAAAGTACGGCAGGGCCCAGGGAAGCTGGCATCTGCCCTGCTATTTCATTGTCTAGAGACCCCCCCATGGGTCTCTGGGGACATGGGTGCAGAGGGGACATTGGCAATGCCCCCCCCCCGCACCTCTGGGCACATCGTGGGTGCTGGCCTCCCGCCCTCACACATGCTTCTCCTGCCATCACTAGGTCCTGAGAGGAGCAGCGCCCTAGAAGGAGCGGTCCTGAAGTCAGGTCTCAAGTAGGCCCCACCGGGACCTGCCCCCGACCCCTCACAGCCTCCCACAGGTGGGGGAGACGGGGTACCCGGGTACACCTCCTCCCTTGACTTCCCCTCCTGCTTCCACTACCTAAGCCAGGCTCTGGAGAGTAGTCAGTCCTGGGCCTCAGTTTCCCCTTGCAGTTCTGCATCTCCACCCCCCACCCCTGCCACCTCCAGCCCCAGTCTCTCCTTGCGGCCCCCTCCTTTTCCCCAGCAGAGTTGGCGGCGATGGGCGCTGGGCCGCGGCGGGGCGCGGGCCCCCCCGACGGCGGCTGGGGCTGGGTGGTGCTGGCCGCCTGCTTCGTGATCACGGGCTTCGCCTACGCCTTCCCCAAGGCCGTCAGCGTCTTCTTCCGCGCGCTCATGCGCGACTTCGGCGCGGGCTACAGCGACACGGCCTGGGTGTCGTCCATCATGCTGGCCATGCTCTACGGCACGGGTCAGCGGCTTTACCCGCGGGGGAAACTGAGGCTGGAGGGGGCGCACGTGTGCTCCCTGCGCCCCCGGGGGGGCGGGGCGGGGCGCGGTGTCCGCGCGGGTAGATGGACGGGGATCCCCCGTAACTCCCCGCCTCCCCCGCCGTCGGCGCTCTCGGGAGGGAGGCGCGGCCCCGCGGGTGACCCCGTCCCGCACGCAGGCCCCGTGTCCAGCATCCTCGTGACCCGCTTCGGCTGCCGCCCGGTGATGCTGGTGGGCGGGCTGCTGGCGTCGGCGGGCCTCACCCTGGCCTCCTTCGCCACGCGCCTCCTGGAGCTCTACCTGACGGCCGGGGTGCTCACGGGTGAGCCGGGCGGGCCGGGGCGGCGCGGGCCGGGGGGGGGGGGGTCCCCTGTCCTCCCCATCCTCCCCGTCCTCCCCATCCTCCCCATCCTCCCCGTCCTCCCCATCCTGCCCGTCCTCCCCGTCCTCTCCATCCTCCCCGTCCTCCCCATCCTCCCCATCCTCCTCGTCCTCCCCATCCTCCCCGTCCTCCCCATCCTGCCCGTCCTCCCCGTCCTCTCCATCCTCCCCGTCCTCCCCATCCTCCCCGTCCTCCCCATCCTCCTCGTCCTCCCCATCCTCCCCCGTCCTCCCCATCCTCCCCCGTCCTCCCCGTCCTCCCCATCCTCCCCGTCCTCCCCATCCTCCCCGTCCTCGCCGATCCTCCTCCGTCCTCCTCTAGCCTCCCTGGTCCTCCCTAATCCTCTCCGTCCTCCCGGATCGTTCCCGATCTCCCCGCCCCCCCACTGTCCTCCCTGTCCTCTCCAATCCTCTCCGATCCCCCTCGCCCTCCTCGATCCTCTCCGTCCTCCTGGACCCTCCCCATCTGCCCCGTCCTCCCCATCCTCTCCGATCCTCCTCGTCCTCCCCCATCCTCCCCGATCCTCTGGGTCCTCTCCAATCCTCTGGGTCCTCCCCGATCCTCCCGATCTGCCCCGTCCGCCCCGTCTCGTCCCGCGCTCAGGCCCCGGCCCCGGCCTCCCCGCAGGCCTGGGCCTGGCCCTCAACTTCCAGCCGTCGCTCATCATGCTGGGGCTGTACTTCGAGCGCCGGCGCCCTCTGGCCAACGGGCTGGCGGCGGCGGGCAGCCCGGTGTTCCTGTCGGCGCTGTCGCCGCTCGGCCAGCTGCTGCTCGAGCGCTTCGGCTGGCGCGGCGGCTTCCTGCTGTTCGGCGGCCTCCTGCTGCACTGCTGCGCCTGCGGGGCCGTCATGCGGCCGCCGGGCCCCGCGCGCGCGCCCCGCGTCGGGCACGCGCGCGGGGAGGAGGCGGAGGCGGCGGACGGCGCCGGGCCGCGCCCGCGCGCGGCGCCCCCTGCCGGCCGGGCCCCGCGCCGCCGCCTGCTGGACGTGGCCGTGTGCACCGACCGCGCCTTCCTCGTGTACGTGGTCACCAAGTTCCTGATGGCGCTCGGCCTCTTCGTGCCCGCCATCCTGCTGGTGAACTACGCCAAGGACTCGGGCGTGCCCGACGCCGAGGCCGCCTTCCTGCTGTCCATCGTGGGCTTCGTGGACATCGTGGCGCGGCCGGCGTGCGGGGCCCTGGCGGGCCTGGCGCGCCTGCGACCCCACGTGCCCTACCTCTTCAGCCTGGCCCTGCTCGCCAACGGGCTCACCGACCTGAGCAGCGCGCACGCCCGCTCCTACGGCACCCTCGTGGCCTTCTGCGTGGCCTTCGGCCTCTCCTACGGCATGGTGGGCGCACTGCAGTTCGAGGTGCTCATGGCCACCGTGGGGGCGCCCCGCTTCCCCAGCGCGCTCGGCCTGGTGCTGCTCGTGGAGGCCGTGGCCGTGCTCATCGGACCGCCCTCCGCCGGTGCGCCCCAAGGGAAGCCCCTCCCTGCCCCGGGCAGCATTTGACGGGACGGACAGGGCCCCCTTTACGGTCGGTAGCCCCTCCCTGAGGCAGAGTCTGGGTGCGGATGGAAAAGCCACGGAAATGCCAGGAAAAAACGAACAGATAGCGCGGGCCCGCTGGGCCATCCCAAGCAGTTGGCACAAAGGCCTTGTGAAGTGGGGGTGAACAGGAAGCAGGCACGGGAGGTTTTGCACAACTGTGGGCCTAGAGTTAGAGCATGATCTGCCCACACCTTGAAAGTGTATCGATGTTTTGGTGTCTTCCTTCCTCTCCCCCCCTGCCCCACCCCTTCCACACACACAGAACAAGACTGGGACTGTGTCTTTGGGGGTCAAGGGGGGGCGGGCTCGAAGCAAAGTGGGGGTGTTCAATGGGCAGCTGGGGAAGAAAGGCCCTGGTGCCCTTCTCCCTGTACACACCACTGCTGGGACGCTCTTTTCAGGGCAGGAAGGGCATCCCAATGGGAAAGGCACAATATGAGGAGACACAGGATCTGCTTAGGGACCTAAGATCGGAAAGGTGGAGATGGGGGACACAGGTGTGCCTGAGTTGCTGCGTTACTGTGAAACAGCCTGCTTCAGGGCAGAAGCCACAGTCAGGCGGCAGGAGGGTCGAGCCTCAGAGCGTCAGGCTCAGGTGGGCAGGCTGCAGGCTGAATGGCGGTGTGTCACAGCCCTCAGGGTTGCGTGGAAGAGGGACAGGCAGCCACAGCTGACTGGACAGGGATCCAGGATGCGTAGGGCCGTGTCCCTTAGAGGCTCGCTCCGGGGATACCAGGGACCTCCCCAGAGATCACAGCTTGGCGTGGGCAGCCACAAGAATGTTCCCAGAGGGCAAAGCCCCAGGGGGAACTACACCCTAGGGGAAAATATTTACAGATAAGTGACTTCTAGGAAAATGCCTGCTTAGCATGAATAAGGTCCTATGTGCTCCCCAGTAAAAGAGGAGGGGGGGAGGTAAGGAGGGGAGAGAGGGAGGGAGGGAGGGGGGAAGGGGGGGGATGTTCCCAAGCATGAAGGCACGTGTGCACCTGATGGGAAACCTCAGGAAAAGGAGGAAATGGGTCCTGTTTGAGGATGAGGGGCTGAGGCCTGCCTCCAGCGTGTGCAGAGTTCAGTGCGGGGTGCACATGCCCTCCTGGGAGAGGCAGGAGGATGGCAGACACAGAAAGAGGAAGTGGCGCTGTGGCTCAAGTGGTAGAGCGCTCGCCTTGAGCTGAAGAGCTGAGGAACAGCGCCCAGGCCCAGAGTTCAGGCCCCACGACCGACAGAAAAAAAAAAAAAGTGGAAAGAGTTGGGGCAGTGGGAGGGCAGGGCAGGCCAGGCCAGGCGGACACAGGCCACTGTGAGCGTGAATGGGGGTGCGGCGGCTTTTACACGTTGAAGAGCTGCCTGACCAAAAGCCCCACGTCACCAACGATGCCCCAAATGGCAGAATCCGTGTGAGGTTTCCCAAGACAGAAATAGACAAGGAAATGTCACCAGTGCACCCTACGAAATCAGGAGCACCCCATATCTGCAGGTGAGGGGGTCCAACCCTGGCAGGCCCTGACCCCTCTGCACCACCCCTCCCAGGCCGCCTGGTGGATGCACTGAAGAACTACGCGATCATCTTCTACCTGGCCGGCTCTGAGGTGGCCCTGGCTGGAATCTTCATGGCAGCTGCCACCTTCTGCTGCCTCCGCCGCCGCCGCTCTCAGGATGCCCCGGCCGGCCCAGCCTCCGAGGGCAGAGCCAGCGACACGGAGGAGGCTGAGGTGGAGGCTGAAGGGGACTCCGAGCCACCGCCTGCCAGCACTGAGATGCCCAGCAGGCTGGAGGCGCTGGAGATGCTGAGCCCCCTTGCTGGGTCCCCGGAACTGGAGGCGGAGGCAGAGCCCAGGCCCGGCCATGAGGAGTGTGTGTAATGCGCTGGGTGGGCTGGCCCCTGGGCTTGGGAAGGTGGCTCCTCCCTCAGAGGTCCTGGCCGAACGGTCCTTCCTGGAGACCGGTGGGCTTCGTCGACCCCTTGGCCATCCTCCCAAGGCGCTCCCCCCCCCCCTCGAGGAAGGAACCCGAGTTCATAAAAGCTCAGCTGAAAGACATTGCTCCTGCCTCCTCCAGCGTCGGCCGCCCCGCCCCCTGGGAAGAGGGGGCTGGGGAGGGGGGGATCGCTTCTGGATAAGAAGGGTGCGTGACCGTGACCGTGGTCTGACCTGGGACCAGGCCTCCTTAGCACCCAGGCAGGTTGAAGAGAAACACTGGGGGAGCGTGTGGGAGCCAGGTGCTCAGCACCATGCCCGGCACCCGTTCTCCAGTGGGTACGCTCCAGGGATGCCTGCAGCTCCCGCGGCCAGCCCAGCCCTCCCCACTACGAGCCTGCCCGGAACCACGTGCCTACAGCTGCCAGGCAGAAGCCTGCTTCTCCATTTTGGACTCTGCTCCTTTCCCCCCAGGACCCGCATTCTCTCTCTGGCAGGAGCAGAGGGCCTGGACAGCCCAGGGCGGCATCTCCAGAGCTGCCCTGTGGCCCTGGCAGAGGGCACAGGGCAGCTGGGGCTGAGCCCCTGGCCTTGCCTGCCCACCTCAGATAAAGATCTCTCCCACATCCAGCCCAGATGGGTTCGTAGGGTCAGGTGACAAGGCTTTGGGTTCTGAGTTCGGATCCCACTCTGCCTTGAGCAAGTGGCTTCTTGGGGTCTCCTGTCCCAGCAGCTGGTGCCACTCCCCAGGGGGCTGTGAGACTCACAGGAGGGGGGGGCGTCCCCTCCCCCTTGCTCAGGGAGGGAGCGAGGGAGGGGCTGAGGCCACTGCGCGGAGCCGGGCTATCTGGGTTTGAGTTTATTCAATGAAGCCCGGTGCCCAACCCTCTCCAGAAGCGACTGAGCCCAGTAACAAAATAAATAAAGGCCTTGGAGGTGTGCGTGAGAGGCTGGCCAGCCTGGCCGTCCACCCGCCCCGCTCGCAGCAGGCCGGAGCACACGGAGCGGCACCTCGGGCCCAGCCCCTCTTCCTCGCTGCCCTGTCCTTCCTGAGGCCGGGCCGGGGAGGTGGGAAGGGTGAGGGCCGGTGTCCAGGGCCCAGGCTGAGGCCCTGGGGCTTGTCCTGGGCAGGAGCCCGGATTCGCTGTGCGAGGACAGAGGAGCAGGGAGGCAGGCGCCCCAAGCCGAGCCAGCAGGCCTTTATGCCGCCCTGCCCTGCCCTGCCCTGCGGTGAGCCGCTGCCCCGCTCCCGCGGGGTCCTCCCACTGCCCTGCCCCGTCCCATGGAGCGCTCAGGAGTCACACCAGCTTCCGCCCTTGTCCAGAGGCCCGGCGGCCCCGCGTGTCTCCCGGGGCTGCTGGGGGGCCTGGGCCGTGTCCTCGTCCTCCTCATCCTCGCCATCAGTGAGCTCGCCCTGGTCGGGGCCGTAGGCCAGCGAGGTGTGCGCCAGGTCCACCTCGATGGGGAAGACGTCGGCGTCGCGCAGCACGGCGTAGCAGTCGTTATAGTACTTGGACATGGTGGACACGAAGCGCTGCAGCTGGAACACGATGTCCTGGACTGGGGTGGGGGCGATGGCACTCAGGTGGCTGCAGGACCCCCTCTCCGGTCTTCCTACCCGGGCACCTCCCTGGCCCTGGCCTGGGTAGAGGCAGAGGTGGGTGCGGCCTACGCCCCACCTGCGGCTCCAGGGCGGGACATGGGAAGGGGATGAGCTTCTGCCGGTCCCTGGCCCTGGGACCTTGGGGAGACTTTACCCCCCTTGGGCTGTTTTCCCACCTCCAGCCCAGGAAAGGCTGGCACACGGCCCTCACCGTGCTTCTGGTCCAGCAGCTCCATCTTCTCCAGCACATCCTTGCGCATCTGGGAGAAGCGCGCGCGCGCCTCCTGGCGGCAGCGCAGGATCAGACGGTACTCATAGTTGCCGGTGCTCACTCGGTACAGGGGCTCCCCTAGGGCCTGGGACAGGGGACACATTAGGGTCAGGACAGAATGGGGGTGGGGAGCGGGAAGGCTGCGGGGCGGGCCCAGCTCACAGGGCACCACACTGAGCCCATTACAATGGCATTAAATAAATGAACACTGGCCTTAAGACCATCCTGAGAGCAAAAAGGACATGAAGGTACGTGAAGGGTGATGGGGTGGCTCCCCCTGCAGGAGCCTTGCGGACTTGGGGCTCCCAGGACAGCCCGGGGAGGGCCTCGGGGGAAGCTAGCCAGCACTGAAGCCCAGAGGCTGGGGGATCATGGAGTGCCTCCAACTATAGGAACAAGAGTTCAGCCAGGTTCCAGGCGCCCCTAGGCTGGCCTGATCTCAGCCAGGTTCCTTGCAGACCAAGAAGGTCCCGGGATCTTCCCCAGAATCCCCCACGCCAGCGGGGCCCTTCACCCTGCGGACTCACGATGCAGCTGTATTCCTCGTCATCCATCTCCTTCACCTTCAGGCAGTATGACTGTGGGGCAGAGGCGGCCAGGCAGTCAGTGGCCGGGCCTCCTGGACGGCCATCCGCAGGTCCCAGCTGCCCCCTGGCCACCCAGGAAGCCGGGCCTATCCAGAGGGCAGCAGCCATGCTGGCTGCCACTCAAGAGAGCTCAAGTGCACAGGAGGCCCAGGGAGGTGCAGCAGGTGGGTGAGGGCATCCAACCCCTGAGAGATGCTCTGGAGGCCCAGGGAGGGTGCAGCAGGTGGGTGAGGGCATCCAACCCCTAAGAGATGCTCTGGAGACTTGGGAGGTGGCAGAACACACCCAGCATAGCCAAACACAAAAGGGGGGGGGCTGTTAGGGATTCCATGGCCACCACAGCTGGCCTGGGAAGCCCCTTGGCCGGTTTGAGGTGCCTAGCGCAAAGGGTGCCCAGCGGCCGCGGCACGGCATTCCCTTAGCTCCTAAGACTACACAACAGGGCTCCAGGACTCATCAACGCCCCACAGCGATCACTTTTTGACGAGACCCCTAAGGGGCTGTGCGTGAGAGCAGATCTGGCCTCTGGCCGCCTCCCCCCCCCCCCCCCCCCGGCCTCCCCATGTGGCTGGCGGCCACAGGCGAGCTGCGTGGAGGGCTCGGCCTGCAGCCCACTCACCAGGTACTCAAACTTCACGTCCAGGTACTTCTTGATGGTGAGGCGCGTGTCGGGGATGGCTTTGTGGAGGTACGTGTTCAGGTCTGTCAGCATCTGGGAGGGAGGGAGGCCCGCTCAGACGTCACAGACATGCGTGGCCAGGTGACCCGCGGATGGATGCGGGCTGTCAGCCAAAGGTGCGCCTGCCAGCCATGCCCGTGTCTCGTTGAGGGGAAAGGCAAGCAGTGCCCCAGGGGCAGGACAGCGCTGGCACCGCGCCCAGGCGGTGCAGGGCCCACTGGTGGCGACATGTGGGTGATACTCCACAACCGCCGCCTGGCACCTGGCCTGCAGCACAGGACTCTGCCCTGCAACCACTCGGCCTTCCCCTCCCTCGGAAGAGGGACACTCGAAGCATGCGCTCAACGGGACCCACCGGCTTGATGGTTTTCAGCAGCCGAATGCCAAACTTCTCAATGCTTCGGTGGGCGTCGGCAAACTTCACAAAAGCCTCGCTGGCTGCTGGCTGGGGCTCCCGCACCCCAATCACAGAGAACACGTCCCCAAAGGCTGCATGACAAGTTTGCCTTGAAGGCTGCCCCTACTTGACCCCCTAATGGAGAAGCCAGGGGTTTGCGGGGGCCTGACAGGCTGGAGGGCAGGTCAGCAGGGGGGTCTACATCCATGGGGACATGTGGCAATGTGGCCAGAGGAGACCACAGCCTTGCCCGGAAGCTGCCCTCCAGACCCCAGCAAGCTGTCCCAGGATGCTCCGCCCCTCAAAAAGGCCGTGGCTACTTCCAGCCCGGGCTTCCTCTCCCCTGAGAACGGGGCTCCCTGTGGCTGTCCGGCCCAGCCACAGGACTTAGGGGACATGAACGAGTTCCCAAATGAGGAAGGGCCATGCAAACGTGGCTGTGTGAGGGGTGGGTGGGGCTGCGCCCTCCTGGCCCCCACTGTACCACCCTGGCACCTGGCTGGCGGTCTCAGCGCGCATGCGGCCAGCGTGCCAAAGAAGGGCCTGCCACTGGGTGGGCGGGGGGGGGGGAGGGGGGAGGAAGCTGAGCCCCGACAGGGGTGTAACTGGCCTGGGGCCACATGGTGGGTTTGGGGTGCCATTACCCCGGTGTGTCTGGGACAGCTCGTAAAAAGCCCGCAGGAGGTTCTTGGTGTGTTCTGTCATCCCTGTGGGAGACACCCAGTAAGAGAGGATGGGCAGGGGCACACCACCCCCACCTCCTCCCTCCCCCCAGGTCCTCAACCCTGCCTCCACCCCGCACCCCCAGGGCCTCACTGGACCCCAGGCCCACAGTCACTTCCCACAGCCCCACGGCTGCCCTCTGTGGGGCAAAGATCCTGAGGCAGAGCCAGCACTGGGCAACACTGGCACTGCCTGGCCCAGGCTGGGTCACCACCCACCCACCTCTGTACAGCTCTGCAGTCCTCTCTAGCTCCTCCAGCCTCTTCACGAGCCCATCTGCCGGGAGGGAGAGGAGGTGAGCCGGGGAAGAGCAGGAGAGGCCCGTCGGGGCGGGGGAAGGGCGTGCTGGCCCCTTACAGCTGGGCTCAGGAGTGTGTCAAAAGTGAGCGTGCCCAGTGAAACGAGTGGGGGGTGGGCTGGCTGGGATGTGTCAGCACTCTCAAGGGACCCAAGGCCAGAAGGGACAACCCCAGGGGCGGACCCCAGAGTCCCAGCACGAAGCTCCTCAGCAGCAGCCAGGATGCTCCACACATCCTACACAGCCTGAGGGGCCAGGGAGGTGCCAGCGATGGACCAGAGAGGCGCGTGCGAGTCCTCACGCAGCACTGCTTCATAGGCGTTTACTCAACACTGCCGGGAGCCACCACGGTAGGCCCAAGAGTGGCCATGGAGGTCCAGAGCCGTCCTTGGGCGTCCAGGGCCAGAAAGACGCGAGGCAGGGGCGTGGCAGTGAGCGGCCATGGGAGAGGGTGTGGCAGAGGCCGGGGCCTCACGCTGCGCCGCGGGCGGGCAGGGCAGGTGTAAGGGGAAAGGGAGCACCATGGCATCTTCAGGAGGCCCTGCCACCCTGCAGTCTCTAGGGCCCGGCTCCCTCCAGCCAAGCACACGGCCACGCAAGTGTCGTGCGGTTGTTTTTAGCTGGGTCACGGGACATCATGACAGCTTCAGTTTTAGAAACTCTATTTACAGCTGGTGAAATTGCAAGGTTTGGGGGGAGGGGGGGGACACAACAGCCAGTTCCAATTTCATCTCGATGCATGGCCACTACAGTAACAGGATTCACAGACACCAGGAGGACGAAAATAGCAGCCGCCACTTTGCTACCCCATTTGGAACACGCTCGGGCCCCGCCCCCACCTCCCCAGCCAATAAGGCCCAGCATGCCCGGCTGAGCCTACAATTGATATAGGTATTTATATCTCCCTCCGCGTACAGGGCACAGCGAGTCTATTTATAAGCTTGGGTTTGGTGAGGCAGGCGCAGGACGCGTGCTCTACTGGCCTCCCCAGGGAGATAACGTGCGCACGTGTGTCTGAGCATGTGCAAGTGCGCCCGCACACGGCAGGAACCAGGGGCAGCAGCGCCACCTCCTGGACAAGGACAGAGCTGAGGCAAGAGTATGGGAACAGTGCCAGCGCCCGGTGAGGGCTGCACTAGAGGTGCATGCAAGAGCTGGGCAGGGGCTGGGATAGCTGACTTGGTGTGCCTACCAGCCTGCAGAAACCTAGTGGGCAGGGGCTGGGGAGGTGGCTCAGTGGTAGAGCGCATGCCTTGCATGCCTGAGGCCCTGGGTTCGATTCCTCAGCACCACATAAGCAAAAAGAAAAAAGCCAGAAGTGGCGCTGTGGCTCAAGTGGTAGAGTGCTAGCCTTGAGCTGAAGAGCTGAGGGACAGCGCCCAGGTCCAGAGTTCAGGCCCCACGACCAGACCCCCCCCCCAAAAAAAAAAAAAAAGAAAGAAAGAAACCTAATGGGCAGCAGGGGTGTCCTTTCCGGTGGGTTGGAGTCTGGGCTGGAGGGAGAAGGGGACTCTTACCATTGCAAAGGATGGCCCGGCTCAGGCCCAGGGCATCAGCTGTCCCCGAACTCATGTTCTCCACCAGCCGGTGCTTGACCTTCTTCAGCACTGGGGCCAGGAGGGAAAGGACCCAGGCTTGGAGCTGGTTCCCAGGCCATCTCGGCCCACTGTGACTCACTGGGAATGGCCAGCCGGGAGCAGCAGAGCTCCACTGGGGTTTGGTATGGAGAGGGTGGGGAGGGAGGTGTTCCTGAGCCTCTGCCCCACCCATGATCCACTTCAGGGGATAGGCATGCTGAGAGGCGAGCATGACAGGCTCAGCCCAAGGCTGGGCACAAGCCCCCACCCAGAGCCCAGCACTGCCCAGGCTCAGAAACGGCTGGCAGCCTAGCCAGGGAGGGCTCTTCCTTCCTCTCTGGTGATCTAGGCAAGGGGAAGGGAGGGAAGGAGAAAGTTGGCCTGGGCTGGGGTAGTGACCACCACCAAACACCAGTGGCCTTGGGCCCTGACTCGGTTACTACATGGCTAGCCTAGACCTTGGAAGGGGGCTGGGTGGGCAGCCAAGGATTCCTGACAGGACGGATTTCTTGGAGCCTTAAGGGTTGTGACTAGAGGTCACCGTGTGCTTGCAGGAGGGCTGCAAGCACGCTGGTCCTCAGGCCCCTCTGTCATGCCAGAGGATCTGGAAGCCACTGTCTTCTTCCAAGTCTCTCTTATTACTGTAGCTCAGGCTGGCCTCAAATTCATGCTTGTCTTGCCTCAGTCTCCCAAGTACTGGGATTACAGGTGTGAGTCACCAAGTCCAGCACACTGTTTCAGAGGTCCTACGGAGTAAGGCCTGGCCCTCCAACAGGAGGCTCCATTAGCAAGCTGTGTCCTGTGCCCAAGCATATGGTCCTAGTCACAGCCTGAGTCTTCCAGGAACAGGAGGTGGGAGGAGGCAGACAGGAAAGGCGTAGGTGGACACAGCCCCAGGCCAGCATTGGGCTGCTCTCAGCTGTGGCAAGCCCTGAGCTGGCCTACAGTGGTGACCCTAGGAGGCAGAAATGGTGGCTGGTGGTGGGGGTGAGGGGTGGGGCAGAGCAGGAATCAATCGGGGCAAGCACTGCAAACAGATACAGGGAACACCCCAGCTCCCCTTCTTTAGCTTGGCTTGGTCAGAAAAAGGGCACCCAGCTGCACAAGTGGGGGCGGGGGAGGGGCACTGATGCCTGCTCTGGCCTGGCTTACCGATGTCCAGGGACATGCCCTGCTTGGGGTCGGCCTGCAGCTTGTTGTAGTGGATGGTCACCTCCCCCTGCAAGGGCAGCACAGGTACTTGGTTTTTGTTTTTTTTTTTTTTGGGTCCGGTCGTGGGGCCTGAACTCTGGGCCTGGGCGCTGTCCCTCAGCTCTTCAGCTCAAGGCTAGCACTCTACCACTTGACCCACAGCGCCACTTTTGGCTTTTATCTTATGTGGTGCTGAGGAATCGAACCCAGGGCCTCGAGCATGCAAGGCAAGTGCTCTACCACTGAGCCACTTTCCCAGCCTGCAGCACAGGTACTTGTGATGAAGTCTCCTGGACCCAGGGCCCTTCCCTGGCAAGCACTTTCTGCTGAGTATCAAGGAGATGGGACAGGGGCCCCCAGAACCCCAGACCAGCAACTCAAGGCATCACTGAACGTGTCCTAGGACTGGCCAAGGGAGGCTTCTAAGCCGAGGGGCAGCTTCCCCAACCACGCAGGCCCAGCCTTCCCCCATCACAGGAGGCCACCAGGGCCACTCTGGTCCTCATACTCCTTAAGGCCCTTGAACCTGGAGCTGAATCCTTCCAAACCAAGACAGGATCTAAGCAGGGAGCCCTGAGGGGCACTGACAAGACTGAAATGGCTCCACCCTAGTCCAGGGCTCTGCCCTCCCCTGGCAGGCTCGCTGCCAGACTGGAGGTGGGGGCCTGGTGCCTGCTTTCATCCAGCTGTCAGGACGCCGTGGCGGCTGTGCAGGGGAGGCAGGGCACTGGCAAGGCCTCGGGGGCAGCTAGCAAGTGGGAGCAGAGGGCAGAGGCATGGGACTGTGGGCAGTAGAAGCCCATCTGGTCTGGGAACCCGGGTCCTAGGGAGTCTGAATGGAGGGGGACCACTGACCCAGAAGCTCCTGCAGGGATAAGGGATGTGCCCTGCCCAAGCCCAGCTGGCATCATTACAGCCCACCAACTTTTTTTTTTATTTCGGTCATGGGGCTTTTGAACTCTGGGCTTAGGCGCTATTCCTGAGCTCTTCAGGGAGCCACAGCACCACTTCCGGTTTTTTGATTATTGTAGATAAGAGTCTCACGAACTTTCCTGCCCGGGCTGGCTTTGAACCATGATCCTCAGCTCTCAGCCTCCTGAGTAGCTAGGATGACAGGCGTGAGCCACCAGCACCTGGCTCCAGGCCGCCAACTTTTGACCTGTGGGCTTTCAGCCTCTACTTGAGCCGTGCCAGGGACAGCCTGGCTTGCCCACATGCCAGCTCCCTGGGTCTTCCTGGGCCCTGGTTGTCCCGTCCACACTCTCACCCAGGCCCAGCACCTGTCCTGGAGCATGATGAGTGTTTACTGAGAAGTAAATGGGGAGAAACTAAGGCACGGGTGAGGCCCCAAGCAGCAAGGCTCACCTTCACCTCCTGAATCATCTTCGCCACCTCCACCTTGGTCTTCCCTTTGATTGACCTGCCATTGACGCCAGTGATCTCGTCGCCGGCGGCCACGGTGCCATCTAGGGCTGCAGGCGTGTTATCAAATACCTATGGTGAGCAGGAGGTGGGGGGACAGAGACACCTGAGGAGAGCCCTGGCGCCACCCTGCCATCTTCCTCTTCCCACTGCCTGCTGGCTTCTAGGAAAGCCAGCGAGGGCAAGGGGAAAACTGCGGCAGAAATAAATGACCCAACTTCTTGCGGGAGAGGAAGGAGGACAGGAGGGAAGTTCCAACTCATGAAACCTCCCTCTTCTAGTAGCACACACTCCAGCCCTCACTCACACACCCATCTGAGCAGCTGGTCCTCCAATGCCTTGGTTTCTCTCTTTGGCAGTGCCAAAGAAAATCCAGTGCCTTGGGCTTACTAGGCAGGTAATCTATGTTAGTATTATCCCCGTGTCTGGTCCTCAGCTCCTCCCTGCCACAAGAGTTCCCACCATACAGCTGGCCACTCCCTCCCTCCTCCTCCCTTCCCCAGCCCCCCCCCCCCAACCCCAAGCTACCTAAACACAACACTTGCTCCAGAGTTACCCACCTGGATGGGAGCAGATGCCATTTGCTCCCTCTCCAGGGGGAGATATGGCCCTCTAATAAACCTTCTATAATCTTCTGTGCCTGCTTGCCTCTGCATGGTCCCCTGGGATGGTTTGATGGATCCTAACACTCTACCTCTTGAGCCGTGCCCCAGTCCTTTTGCTTTTAGTTTGTCCGATTGGGTCCCAGGCATTTTTTTTTTTTTTTTTTTTTTGCCAGTCCTGGGGCTTGAACTCAGGACCTGAGCACTGTCCCTGAGTTTCTTTTGCTCAAGGCTAGCACTCTACCACTTCCACCCTTTTCTGTTTATGTGGTACTAAGGAATTGAACCCAGGGCTTCCTGAATGCTAGGCCAGCACTCTACCACTAAGTCACATAGATCTCAGGCTTTTATCTGGGCTGCCCTTGGACCTGAGTTCTTCAGCCTTTGTTTTCCCAAGAAGCTGGAATTTCAGGCATGCACACTACACCCATGCAGCTTCAATATGATTTCTTCAAATTTTTCCAATAATGATGCTCTAAGCTGCCTCAATACCCCAATACAGTTCTCACTTTGGTCCTCAAAGAACCACCCAAAGCTGCCCTGAGCAAGGCCCCACCATCTTGGTGAGCCCTTTTCTCAAGATGACCCCTTCAGGAGGACGTGCACTCACAGGCTCTCAGAATGTGTGTCCATCAAAGATCAAATGTGTGAGCAGTACAAGGGCAAAGCAGCCCCCACCTCCAGCACATGGACAGACTGGACCCAAAACTGGACCCAAGAAGCAGCAGCTAGGAGCAGGATCATTAGCAGCTCTCACACCACTCCTCGGCAGCACCGTTAGTCCCTAAAGTCTTATAAGAAAGCATCAAAAGGGCCCTTCACGATGTTTACGATGTTTACTTACAGTGCTACAAATAATGAGATTAATATGTTTCTTTCTACCACCTTCCAGAATTACGGTGAGAATACCACAGTGGCAGTAAAAGATAAGCGTGGTGAAGCCATAGGGCTGCGTGTGCAGCGCAGTGAGGGACATTGTGCACAAGGCCCAGGCGCCGCCTGGCACCACCTAAAGAGAACAGCCACAAGGCACTGTTAAGCAAAGCAGTAAATAATGGGAGGTGGCAGGAGTGGCTAATATGGACTGTGACCTTAGCTGGAAGGAGAAGCAGCAGGTAGTAGAGTGCACCTCTGGGTGTTTCTTTTGTTGTAGTTGTTGGTCATGGGACCTGAACCCTGGGCTTGGGCACTGTCCCCGAGGTCTTCAGTTCAAGGCCAGTGCTCTACTTGAGCCACAGCGTCACTTCTGCTTTCCTGATGGTTTATTGGAGATAAGAGTTTCACGGACTTTCCTGCTCAGGCTGGCTTTGAACCACGATCCTCAGATCTCAGCCTCCTGAGTGGCTAGGATTGCAGGTGTGAGCCACCGGCACCCAGCACCTCTGGGTGCTTCTGCAAGGGGTTTCTGGAGGTTTAGCTTGGGGGAAAGGCCTCTGCAAATGTGGGCAGCACGGCCCACAGGAGGAAGGAGGACAGGACGCAGCACCACAGCCTCCCTCTCTGCTTCCCGCGGCCATGACACCCGAGGCACCCCACGTTCTCTAACTGTGAACACGGCCAGTTGCTCTCTCTGGAAATTTTGCCACCGCCATGAAAAGTCTGACCAACACAGAAATTGGTACCAGAGAAAAGAGGTAAGTGGTTCTCAAGCCTTTGGAGTTTGTTTGTGGAAGGAACCTAGAAGAGGTAGGAGATGCAAGCTAGAATTCTAGACTGCTGTAAGCCCACCACAGATGTTTCTGGGGAAAACTCAGATGAAAACAACAACGGAAATGTAGACAGTCCAGACTATGCTCACGAGGTTTCAGGCAATGGGGACTCTGCTGGGAACAGGGCTAGTGGCCATTTCTGTTACATTCCAGAAGATTTAACTGCCTTTTGTCTGTGCCTTGAGACTTTGTGGGAGGCTGATGTAGTGGAGGACATCTGAAGAAATTTCACCCCAGCTTCCAGACTGTGGCATGGGTACTGCTGTGTGCTTTCTAGTCAAGTCTACAGTGGGAGTGGTGAAAAAGAGCAGAGCAGGAAGGTTCGAACCTGCAGTTTTCTTATAACAGCTTGGGCGAGTATGGCTGCTGAGGACATTCAGATCATTAAAAAGAAGCCAAGTACTTAGCATTAGGACATGGGAAAGAGGCCTTGAGGAAATGGCCAGACGCCGCCCATGGCAGGGCACATAGGTTCTAATTCATTTGAAAGGCAACTTTAGAAGGAAGCTCTGTACTGTCACGTGGGTATGGGACCACTGAGTGCACACAAGGCTGGCTTGCTGGCATACAGAAGGCATAGCGGGCACTCTAGTGGCAGAGTCTGCCAGTGTGCAGAGCTTCCACAGGTGCAGTAGTGGTGGGCTGTGCTGGCTTCCACCCAAAAGTCAAAGCAAAGGCTAGAAGGCCAGGGCACAAGTGGTAGGGCCAGGACCCCTGCAGGCAGCCCAAGAGGGGATGCATGCAGCTGAAGACCCTGGAGGCTAGAGAAGAAAGGAACACGAATGTCTGCCAAAGAAAGGCAAGGGCAGTGAGCAGAGCCAGGCCACAGAAAGGCCACGTGTGCCACAAACAGCAAGGCCCCAGGGCCTTCCTCCTTCTGTTCTCTGGGAGTTGGTCACAGAAATGAAAAAGTAACTAAGACAACATCCCATGTTGGTGAACCAGAAGACTTAACCCAGATTCCATGCAATCAGTCAGAATCCCAATGACACTTCTCAGAGATACAGAAAATTTTAAAATAAAAATCTAAATTCAAAGCTGGACACCGGTGGCTCACACCTGTAATCCTAGCTACTCAGGAGACTGAGATCTGAGGATCACGGTTTGAAGCCAGCCTGGGCAGGAAAGTCCATGAGAATCTTATCTCCAATGAACCACCAGAAAACCAGAAGTGGCGCTGTGGCTCACTAAAGGCTTTTTGAACATTCTGTACATGGCAGGCACTGTACCTGACACCTAGCACTAATCACAGTGGAAAGACAGAATGCAGCGTGCCAAGTGTCTGGTGAAACAGCCGGATGCAGAGCAAGGAACAAGCAGATGGCTGGAATGGATGCCACGAAGTCAAAGATCAAGCTACAAGAGCAGAGAAAACGGATGGCTCAGGTGGTCAGAGGGTGTGCTGAGGTGGGAGGAGAAGCAGCCCATTTTTGCAGAGTGGAGAAATAAACCTGGCTCTGGCATACCCAAGCAGGGAGGGGATTCAAGCCCTGGCCCACACGCAAGTGCCTTGTACCTGGACGATGTAGAGGCAGGGGCAGTACTGTGCCCCACCCCCGATGCTGATCCCAATCAGGTTCTGGGCATCCTTCTGCAGGGTCACCTTCCCAGGCACAGTGGGGATTCCGCTGGAGAGAAAGGCAAGTGGGGCTCAGTTCCTGGAGGAAGAGTGATTGCAGGGGTGGGCCTCCAAACACCAAGGTCAGAGAGCAATCTGTACTGGACCACAGTTCTGGGAGTCAGGCAGATGTGGAGTCAAAGCTAGAGCTGCTATTCTATTGGACATGGGATTCTGGGAGTCACATTCTCTCTATCTGCCTTTGGAAAGTTTTTCCTTCTTTACCCAACTATCCTCCAGCTTGCCTGCCTGCCTTTCTTTCTTTTCTGGTCATGGGGCTTGAACTGTGGGCCTGGGCCCTGTCCCTGAGCTCTTCAGCTCAAGGTTAGTGCTCTGCCATGTTAAGCCACAACATCACTTCTGGTTTTCTGGTGGTTAATTGGAAATAAGAGTCTCAGAGTGCTGAGCGATGGTGGCTCACACCTGTAATCCTAGCTACTCAGGAGGCTGAGATCTGAGGATCACGGTTCAAAGCCAGCCCAGGCAGGAAAGTCAATGAGACTCTTTTTTCTTTTTTTGGTCAGTTATGAGGCTTGAACTCTGGGCCTGGGCGCTGTCCCTCAGCTCTTCATCTCAAGGCAAGTGCTCTACTGCTTGAGCCACAGGGCCACTTCCAGTTTTCTAGTGGTTTACTGGAGATGAGTCTCACTGTCTTTCCTGAACCGTGATTCTCAGATCTCAGCCTCTTGAGTAGCTAGGATTACAGGCTTGAGCCACCCGACATTCCTCTTGCTTTATCTGTCAACTGCTCTACTCAATTACCTCACTCTTCACTATAATTTAGCATTTACTTATGTGCTGTAGTAAAGACTCACATATTAGTTTATTCACTCATTCAAAAAACAGTGGTTAGTGATCCATAAGACTAAGAAAGCATGAGACCTAGTCGTTGTGCAGAGAATATTTTCTAATGGGCAGACAAATTTAATTCTTGAAAACCTGTCCTACTAATAATCTGCTGCAGAGAGGTATGAGCTCCTCCAGCTTTCAAAACTGGGCTCAAATGCTACCTCCAGGAGCTGGCTCCTGGGCAGAAGTACTGCTCCATCTGCTCTGTCCCTCAGTCAAATGGGATTGGAGCCATCTGTGAGCCCTGGAAGGACAGGGCCACTTTTGCTTCAGTACAACTGGGTCCTCCCAGCTGCGGGGCATGGTGTGTGTGTGTGTGTGTGTGTGTGTGTGTGTGTGTGTGTGTGTGTGTGTGTGTGTGTGTGTGTGTGTGTTACAACTGGGTCCTCCCAGCTGCGGGGCACGGGGTGTGTGTGTGTGTGTGTGTGTGTGTGTGTGTTACAACCGGGTCCTCCTAGGGTGTGTGTGTGTGTGTGTGTTTTACAACCGGGTCCTCCCTGATGCGGGGCAAGGTGTGTGTGTGTGTGTGTGTGTGTGTTACAACCGGGTCCTCCCAGCTGCGGGGCAAGGGGTGTGTGTGTGTGTGTGTGGCTCACAGCTTCACTTCCAGCTTTTTGGTGATTAACTGGATATGACAGTCTCACAGTTTCCTGCCCAGGCTGGCTTTGAACCACAATCCTCAGATCTCATATCTTCTGAGTAGCTGGGATTACAAGCGTGAGGCACGGGTGCCTGGCTGAAGCAAGGGTTTCACAACTGGGAAGCCCGAGGACATGGGGCTGGGCCTGCTGAACTTGCGGGTCTTGGGGGGGAAACCAAAATACTCACAGTTTATCCTCCTCGATGTCATAATCCAAGTCTGCAAACATGGTTCCGAGTGTAGGGATGGGCTGGCCAACCGCCCAGTTCGCCAGGGGAATGGGGAACTGGGGCCAGAAGAGAGAAAGGCACTGGGTGAGGGCCCCGAGCGCCGGGCCGCGCCGCGGGGCTGGGGCCCGCGGTCCGGGGCCTCCTCCCCTTCCCTCCCCACCCGGGAGGGCCGTCGGCGGGAGGGCCTGCGGGCTCTTACTAGATATAGGGGGGCACTCCCGGCCAGGGCGATGGGCTCCTACCCCAGAGCCCGTCCCACGGGTCTCCAGGCCCTCGAGAGTCGCTCCTGTCGCTCACCGGAAGCGTCGGTCAACAACCGGGCCCGGGCCAGGCTGGCACCTGAGCCCACCTGCCGTTCCACCTGGCGGCGGCCGCGACTGTGTCGTCACTTCCGGCAGGGAGCGGAAGTCCCGCCTTCCCCACCCGGATGCCGGCCCCGGTCTCCTCAAATATTGCTTCCTTCCGTGTTCCTGGACTCTCCGAAGCGGGAAGCAGAGCCAGTGTGGGTTCTTCGACGTTACTGTGGGGGGAAAAAACGAAACAAAAGAAAGGTCTAGGCGGGCTGACAGTCCCGAGCCCCGCCCTTTGCCCCGTGGCTAGCGCCATCTTGGGGAGGGCAGGGTTCCTCCCAGCTTCCTTAGCGGCACTCTGGGGACCACTTCGGGCCTGGCGGTTGCCGTGGCAACGAGAGCATCCCCGGGCCGGGGTTACCCGGGGCGCAGTGCGGTGGCCACAGACCCAGGGAGCTTCCCTCTCACGTTGTCAAGCCTTGCGCTAGGAAACTGCGTTGACTACCAGAAAGACATGGTCAGGGAAAGCAGAACAGGCATTTTATTGGGGGGGGGGGGTATGCCAACATGAGCGGAGAAAGCTGGCGAAGAGGGTGCCCGAGGAAGAATATGGCTAAGGAAGTTTGCTTGCATGTATGAAAATACGACGATGATGCAAAGGCACAACTCTGAACAACTACTGCTTATTAAAACAGGCCGGGCGCCGGTGGCTCACGCCTGTCATCCCAGCTACTCAGGAGGCTGAGATCTGAGGATCGAGGTTCAAAGCCAGCCTGGGCAGGAAAGGCCCTAAGACTCTTATCTCCAATAAGCCATCAGAAAACCGGAAGTGGTGCTGTGGCTCAAGTGATAGAGCTCTTGCTTTGAGCTGAGGAGCTGAGGGATGGTACCCAGAGTTCAAGCCCCATGACCGACCAAAACAAACAAAAACACAAAACAAAATACAACGAATACTAGGACGTGGATTTGTTTTGGTAGAGGGTGGGCAGAGGGGGATTACCTTAATGAAAGAAGGGTGAGTAAACGAAGTCATTATATTCAACAATGTGAAAAATGAACTATGTAACTTGCAGGTAGGGACAGGAGGGGAAAGATGGAAGAGAATGGAGGAAAGCCATGTTGACCAAGAAACATTGTACACATAACCTAACAAGGATTTTACAACTACTTAACAAAATGCTTTCAAAAAATAGAAAAGAAAATAGAACAATGAAACCTGTTGGGGTGATTTTAAGATAGGGCAGTGAGATAGAGAGATGGAAGGGCTGAGGTTGGTCAGGTTACATTATATGCCTCTGTGGAAACGTCACAATGAAATCCCCTTGTACAACTCATGTGTATTAATAAAAATTGTTTTGTCATGGGGCTTGAACTCAGGGCCTGGATGCTGTCCCCGAGCTCTTTTGCTCAAGGTAGTGCTCTAGCCACAACTCCACTTCTAGTTTTCTGGTGGTTAATTGGAGATAAGAGTCTCACTGACTTTCTTACTTGGGCTGGCTTTGAACTGCAATCATCAGATCTCCGTCTCCTGAGTAGCTAGGATTACAGGAGTGAGCCACCGGCACCTGGCTAATAATTAAAATTTAAAAACAAAGAGGATAATTAAAATTGGGACTTAGAGTTTATATAAAAACAAATTGTGTTAAGCACTGTGGAAACCATATCGCTCTTGCAGAAGGGAGGAGAGTCCTGGGGACATCTTTCCTATATGAGTTACGGATGAAACATGACAGGGAGGGATCCAAAGGGCTGAAGAGGAGAGATGCCTGGCGTGGACAGCGGCAATGGCCTGGGTTTTCTCAGCAGGTGAAAGAGGGGTCAGTGGGGTCTCAGAGACTTCCAGGACACCTTCTTTAAAGATGGTGGGATTCTAGGAAACCTTGGTGAATTCAGTCACTCAGCTCAGATCCTCTCCCTCCTGGGCTGCTGACCTGACTGGGTCTTACCACTGAGAGCTGTGTGACCCTAAATAAGTTCCAGTCCCTCTCTGGAACTGACTTGGGTCCCCCTCTGGTTCCCAGGCTCAGAACAGGTCCTTAAGAGCTGGTCCCCTCTACACTCTTTCCTAGGATTATGCTGCCACCTGATGGCCATTAGCAGAAATAGCTCCTGGGGCATCAGAACAGCCAGGACACCAGCAACTGTCACCACCTGCCTCAGGGCTGTCTGTAGCCTGGGCCTCTTTGTAGTTTGTGGAGGATGGATGGTGTTGGGCGCAGGCACACTGAGTGGCGCCCGGCCCTCTGCCCTTTAGCCAGTGCCGTCACCACTACAGTCCTCACTCTGGCCCACTGTTTGGCACTGACAGCTGCTGTAATGGTCAAAAAGCCAAGGGTGCCAGTGCTGGTGGCTCATGCCTGTAATCCTAGCTACTCAAAGAGGCTGAGATCTCAGGACTGGAATTTGAAGCCAGCCCAGGCAGGAAAGTCTGTGAGATTCTCATCTCTAGTTAACCAGTGATAAGCCAGAGGTAGAGCTGTGGCTCACATGGATGAGTGCCAGCCTTGAACATAAAAGCTACGGGGAAGCCAGGTGCTGGTCACCCACTCCTATATTCCTAGCTACTCAGGACACTAAGAGCTGAGGATGGCAGTTTGAAGCCAGCCGAGGAAAGTACCTGAGACTCTCATCCCCAATTAACTACCAAAAATAGACTAAAGTAGAGGGTGTGGCTCAAGTGGTATATTGGTAGCCTTGAACACAAAAGCTAAGGGGACTCCAAGTGCAAGCCCCAGTACCAGTGCGCATACACACAGACACAGACACAGACACACACAAAGCCAGAAGTAGGTTTGACTCACTCATTAATTCATCAGTAACTATAAGTCACAAGAACACAACGGGCCTCATGATTTCAGAGTCGGGCAGGACAATGGGAAATGGTGATGGGACCTGTAGACGTGGCTGAGAGGGGCTCCACGCCGTGTCCTTGTGGCAAGGGGGGGGGGCAGCACTTCCAAGGGATGGGGAGGGAGCCAATGTTATCCACAAATTTGTGCTGCCCCACAAATGATGGTCATGGGGGTGGCCAGGTGAGGGGGATCCAGACTCGGGGGGGGCGTGCCTCAGTGCCAAAACCAGCCCCCAGACCTGCCCACCAGGCACAGGACTCTGGCAGAGGAGAGCAGCTACCTGCATATGCCTGGAGCCCAGTGGCTCCCTAGGCAGGCTGTGGGAGGCGGGGGGGGGGGGGCGGGATGGTGGGTGGGGAGACACAGAGACAACAGGACAGTAGGGGATGGGAAATGCCCCTCCAGCCTAAAGCCACTCAGTAATTCCCAGCTTTGGTGGAGCCCTAGCTGATTCAGCCAGGGTGAGTTGTAGGCCTTCCCATCATCCCCTGAGTGGCTCCATTCTGGCTCAGCTTGGCTTGCAGTGGGTTGACCTCTGACCCTCCCTGGCCCCGTTGCCCCCCAGCACTCTGCCCTCTGGGTTAGGTCAGTGATGAAAGCTGTAGAGGCAGCGGGGTGGGGAGGAGAGAGACAGTGCTTGATTGTTCCCTGCAGCCCCCCGCCACCGAGGGGGGGGTCTGTGCGCTCCCCCTCCCCTCCTCCTCCCTCGCCCCTCCCCTCTTTCAGGCAGTGCAGACTCCAGTGAGAAGATATTGCCCGTGAAGATGCCAGGCCCCACCGCACGGCATCCTGGGAGATTCTGAATCAGCAACCTGAACAGAACTAAGAGCAGAACCAGCATCCTTGAGTGTTGCCCTCTCCGGGCCTGAGTGACCTCCAGTGTGAGATGGGGGTGGAGGTCAGGAAGGCTCTGACACCTGGAGACAGATGTGAAGGCCCTCACCCTCTCTCCTCCACAATCCACGGGGTGAAGGTGTGGCCACCCTAGCTCTGCTGTCCCAGGAGTCCGATCAGCACCTAGACACCCCCACTGGCCTGGACGGGAATTTCAGGAGGTTGAAGGTCTCTGTTCTACTGCAGGGTCACCCAGTGCTTGGGTGTTAGCCAAGCTCCCGCAAACCCAGACCAAATTTCCACCAGTGATCCTGCTCTATTTTCAGCCCAGCCCAGCCCATGCCATGTCCTTTCCCCTTCCCAGCACACATCATCATCACCACCACCATCATTATGGTTATCTTTATTGTTATTACTGTAATGGGGTTTGAACTCAGAGTTGTGCACTTTCTTTTATTTTTTTTAACTGTATTGTTTTTGTCTTTTCTTTTTTGGTACTGGGGATGGAACCCAGGACGTTGCACTTGCTAGGCAAGCGCTTTGCCACTGAGCTACATCCCAGCGCCGAGTTGTGCACTTTCTAGCAATGTTTTCTTCCGCTTTGAGCCACAGCCTTGCTCCAATTAGTTTGGAGAGTGTCTCACTTCTTGCCCTAGTGGGCTGGACTGTAATCCTCCTATTTATTCTACCCAATGTAACTGAGATGACAGACATAAACCACACGCTCAACTTTTTTTTGGGGGGGGGGAAGTTTGGTCATGGGGACTTGAACTCAGAGCACTATCTCTGAGCTTTTTATGCTCAAGGCTAGTCCTCTACCACTTTGAGCCGCAGCTCCTCTTGGAGAGAGGAGTCTTATGGAGTTTCCTGCCCAGTCTGGCTTTAAACCCCAATCTTCAGATCTTAGCCTCCTGAGCTTGCACTCAACTTTTTATTGATTGAGATTAGTGGTGTGTGTCTCAAGACCCTTTTACCTGAGCTGACCGTGAATCATGAGAGTCTGGGTCTCGGCTTCCGGAGTAGCTAGGATTACAGACTTGAGCCGCCACACCCAGCTCAGCACACCTTATTTTGAAGCAAATTTGGGGGGTCTCTTTGGTACCTTCAGATGCTTTTTTTCTTTTTTTTGGTCTAAGCTTTGACAGGAGGCCTTGTGAGGGAAAACCTGCGCATGCTCAGAATGCACAGGCCTTAGCACTCACTGCAGGTGCTTGGTGTGTGGTACTGCCTACTACCATCAAACACAACGCATGCCCACTAAAGACCTCTTAGAAAATTTAGATTTCTTTTATGATTTCAAAGAAAGGCAGGGAAACACTTCACAGGTCATGCAACCCTTTAAACACAGATGGTAATACAAGACCGGGATCTTCTCCACAGATGCCGAGCTGCGAAATGCACAAGCAGAAA